TCTAGCCATCTAATTAGCATATTACTCTTTTATTAGTATAGATATGCTTTGCAAATTATTTCTCCCATTCATTAAGTTGCCTTTCCACTTTGACTATGCATAAGCTTTTTAGTCTGATGGAGTCTCCTTTATTTTTGCTTTTGTTGCCTTTGCTTTGGAGTCCAATTTTTCCAAATAAATGTAGCCATTTATTTCATCTTCTTGCCCGATTGATCTCAATAAGGCTTGCAGTGCTATATTAAAGTGGTGAGAGTGTGCATCCCTCCCTGTCTTGCTCCTGATCTTTGAGGAAGTTTTCAGCTTTCCACCATTAAGTATGATGTTAGCAACAGCCTTGTCATATATGGCCTTTATTATGTTAAGGTATGTTTCCTTTATACATACTTTGTTTTTATCATAATTGTATGTTGATTTTATGTCAAAGGCTCTTTCTGCATCTATTGAGATACTCACGATTTTTACTGGTATTCTTCATTTTGTTAAAGTGGTGTATCCAATTGATTGACTTGGGGATGCTGAACAATTCTTGCATCCTTGCAATAAACCCCTCTTGATCATGATATATGATCTTTTTAATGTATTGCAGAATTCAATGTGCTAATATTTTTTGATAATTTTTGCATCTGCATTCATTGGGAATATTGGCTTGTAATTTTTTCTTGTGGTGTCTTTGTATGGGTAATGTTGGTGTCAGAGTAATGTTGGCCTCGTAAAATGAGTTGGTAAGTGTTCCTCTTTTATTTTTTGGAAAAGTTTGAGAAGGATAGCTATTGATTCTTCTATAAATGTTTGGTAGAATTCACCTGTGAAGTCATCTTGTCCTGAACTTTTGTTTGTTGGGAGTTTTTTTTTGTTTTTGTTTTTATTGCTTAAAGTATTACAAAGGGTATGAGTTTTTGTTTTTTTTATTACTGTTCAATTTCTTTACTAGAAGTTGGTCTTTTCAGGTTATTTTTTCATGATTCAGTCTTAGAAAGCTGTATGCTTCTAAGAATTTATATATTTCTTCTAGATTATCTAAGTTGTTGGTGTATAATCATCCATAGTAATCTTTTATGATTCTTTATATTTCTGTGTTATCAGTTGTAATGTCTCCTTTTTCATTTCTGATTCTGTTTGCCCCCCCCCTTTTTTTTCTTCTTGAGTCTAGGTAAATATTAATTCTGATTATCTTCAACTAGCTCTTAGTTTCATTGACCTTTTCTCTTGTCTTTTTAGTCTCTATTTCATTTATTTTCTCTCAGATCTTTGTTATTTTCTTCCTTCTACTTGGGCTTTACTTTTTTTTCAATTTTTTTTTGTAGTGTAAAGTTAAATTGAAATTATTCTTATTTCTTGAGGTGGGCATTTATCATTATGAACTTCCCTCTTACACTGCTTCTGCTGACCTCATAGATCTGGGTGTGTTGTATTTCCATTTCTATCAAGGCATTTTTTTAATTTCTTCACTTACCCACTTGTTATTCAGTAGCATGTTGTTTAATCTCCACATATTTATGGATTTTTCTTTTTGTAATTTATTTCTAGTTTCATAACACTGTGTTATGAAAGGTGCTTTATATGATTTAAATTTTCTTAAATTTATTAAGACTTGTTTTATAACTTAACATATGATTTATCCTGGAGATTATTCCAGGTGCTTTTGAGGAGAATGTGTATTCTGCTGACGTTTGGATGGAATGCTCTGGATATATCTGTTAAGTCCATCTAATCTAACATGTCATTTAAGGCTGTTTCCTTATTGATATTCTGTCTGATCTACCCATTGATGTAACTACAGGTATTAAAGTCCCTTGCTTTTGTATTGCTGACTGTTCCCCCCTTTAGGTCTGTTAATATTTGGTTTATATATTTAAGTCCTCCTATCTTGGATAGCACCTATATTTTATTCTTTTTATATGTTGTTGGATTTAATTTGCTATAATTTTGTTAAGAATTTTTGCTTCCATGCTCATGAACACTGGTCCATTTTATTCTTATTACTCCATATTTAATAGCAGGGTAATATTTGCCTCATAGAATGAGTTAAGAATTTCCTCCTTTTCAATTTCCCAGAACACATTTGGTAGAAACTCACTAGAAAAGCCATCAAGTCCTGAAGTTTTCTTTATGGGACCGTTTTAATCTATAGATTCATTTCCTTTAATAGATATAGGAGCTATTCAGGGTATCTATGGTAGTTTGTGTCTATATATTAGTTTGCTAAAGCTGTTGGAACAAAATGCCATTGACCAGGTGCCTTAAACAAATTTGACCAAATTATGAATGTTGGAAATCTAAGATCAAGATGCTAACAGGGTTGGTTTCTCCTGGCACCCCTCTCTTGCAGATGGATACCCTCCCTCTTGCTGCCTCTTTATAGTAAGCCATCCTGCTGTGCATGCTGGCCCTGGTGTATCTATGTCCTAATATGTTCTTCTTATAAGGACACAAGGCAGAAGAGATTAGGGCACAACCCTAACAGACTCATTTTAACCTATTTACCTCATTGCAGATCCTGTCTCCACATGCACATACACTCACTTTGTGAGGTACTGCAGGTTAGGTTTCAACAGACAAAACTAGGGGCACACAATCCAGCTCATAGGGTCTTTCAAGTAATTTGTACATTTCATCCAAGTTCATAAATGTATGACCATAGTTATTTCTAGTATTTCCTTCTGATCCTTTTAATATTTATTGGGTCTGTAGTGACTCCCTTTCCATTCCTCATATTAATCATTTGTCTTTATTTTTTATCACCCTGATTAGTCTGGCTTGGGCAAGGATTGACAAACTTCTTCTGTTTTTTAAATATTTTAGGCATTGTGGGCTAAATATGGTCTTTGTCAATTTTCCTCCTGATTTTTGGATGGAATGCTCTGGATATATCTGTTAAGTCCATCTAACATATCATTTAAGGCTGTGTCCTTATTGATACTCTGTCTTGATGATCTACCTAATGATATAACTACAGGTATTATTTCCTCCATCCTTTTAAAATAACTGTATAAAAATACAAACAACATTCTTAGCTTATAGGCTGTACTGAAACAAGCTGTCGGCAAAATTTGACCCACAGGTTGTGTTTGCCAACCTCTGGGCTTGAAGTTTAACTTTATTCTTTCAGAGACAGACACATGAGGCACTTAGCTATGCCATCCTCATTTTGAATTAATCTCAACCACTTTCCTGAAGTATTCCAGGAATAGTTATCTATTTAACCTAGTTTTGGTCTCACCTTCACATTAAGGAAAGTGACTGACAGTAACACCAAAACTCTATCCAGTGGGGGATTAGTTAATTCTACAAATAAAAATTGAGGTGCTATACAAGGGGGGAGAAATGGATTCAGAACGGATTAAAAAAATGTTTACTGAATAAATAATCTGATGAACAGTAAAAAAAAAAATGTTTACGTCGATTAAATTGTAGTTCTAATATTTCCTATGCTTAGAGCATAGGAATTATCAGCTACCTACAAGTTATAAATGACTCATTGATATACTCATTGTCTTCAGGTATATTTTGTGAGCATTTATGGAATCCTCTCTTAGTTTCTTCCCAATTATGGGTCTATTCAAATTTCCTACCTCTAGAAGCTAGATTTTAAAGACAGCTACGATCAACCACACCCACATCAAATAACTAAGAACTGCCTTTGTCCATGTCCCCTATTTCCAGATTTTGGCCCGTACACCCGTGTACCTGTGCACCTACTTGTTTTGCATTCAGGCTTACTCATTTCTCAAGACCAATCCCGGTATTTAGTAGGCAGTCAACTTATAAAAGGCACCTCTGTCTGCCTCCAAATACAGAAATCTTTACTAGCAGGTGACCCGCTATTCAGACTCACTGCCAGGCAATAAAGCAGAGTTTCTGGGAGCAGGAAACGTAAAGTACAAGGTAAGGTTTCTGGCCTTGCTCCACTGTTCTCCTTCGTTGTGTGAACTTGGCCTATTATTCTTCCTTCAGTTTTCCTTTCCTCTGCAAAACGTGGACACCAGAGAGCTGTCATTGAGCTTGAACCGTTACCCTGACTTTCTTTTTGAGGATTGTCTTTTTGTTTGAAATATATTAGGATTTCAAAATCAGGTTTGGCAGGTTCTCTCTCCCTCATTCGATCCTGACGCCCACAAAGTAGGTGTGAAAAGGAACCAGGAAAAGACAAGCGGGCTCCACCGTTCCCAGCCTCGGCTCCGTCCCGGCAGCTTGGCGTCCGTGGGAACACGTCTCTGTTCAAGTGTCCAAGCGGGGGGAGTCCTGATTACAATACTGGTTTCCGGACTCCGGTCACACGGGACCCTGGAGTGATGTCGCCAGGAAAACTGACCATTTCCCCTCCGTTTAGACGGTGACTGAACTGCACGTCTTTGCTCCCGTATATTCTTCAGACACCGAGTCTGCCGCTGTTTTTAAAACCAGAACCACCCACTTGTTCTGCTGGGTATATCGGATATTCTACTTTTGGAAAGCACGGCGCGCCCACGTGTGGCCGACACACCGCCTCGGGCTTGCAGGACGGAACCGGAACCGTCCGCGGCAGCTGAGGGAAGGCGGTGGGAAGGGATTAACCGAAGCCCTTGTGTGCACTTGGCACCGCCATGGACTCGGGAAACGGCGGGGAAGGCGGGGCGGGCTGAGGGGCCACGGGGGAGGAGGGGCGTCTGTAATCCCTTCAGCAATGAAGGGGAAAACCCTAAAACTGTGTGTTTCTGTCGGAACACCGACACTCGGGGGGCTGGGGGAACACCCAGACCTGGGGGGACGGGCCGCTCTCCCCGAGCCCCGCCGGCACTCACGGCCTCCTTCTCGAACATGCTGGGCCGCCTCTCTCTCCGAGACGCCCCCGTCGGGGACTGCTGAGCGGCCGGCGTCACGGGCGCCTTCCCGCCGCGGCTGCGCTTCTCCATCGCGCCCGCCTCAGCGCCTCGCCGGCACCGCGCCTCCCTGCGGCGGAGCCCAACGCCGCCGCCGCCACTTCCCGCGAGAGCTCAGTCTCGCGCCTGCGCCGCGCAGGCCGACGTGCTTCCGGAAGTGCGGCGCGCAGGGAGGGCGGGACCAGCTGAGTTCTCGCGGGGCGCCGGCGGCCGTACCCGGAAGTCATGGAGGTGAGCGGTGGGCGGCGCAGGTGGGAGGGTAGGGGAACACCGAAAGAATAATGCGCTGGCCGTCAGACACTGAGCTTTTGTGAACCCACACTTCACAAATGCTGTGAATGATGAGATTGCAACCTTTAAACGTTTATTTACTTGAAAATCGTTCCGTAAATTATCTTTCAATTTAATCACAATGTTTTAATCATACAGCTCTCCCAGTAGTTATAGCTGTGTATAGTCTGTTCTTCAGATAGAACTAGAGGCCCGTGCTCGGAATCGGTGCACCTGGGTGGTCCCTCAGGAGGCCTAAGCCCGCAGTCGGACATGCTTAGCGCTGCCCCTGTGGGAGCGCACTGACCACCAGGGGGCAGCTCCTGCGTTGAGCGTCTGCCCCCTGGTGGTCAGTGCATGTCATAGCAACCAGTCCTTCTGCTGGTCAGTTGATTTGCATATTAGCCTTTTATTATATAGGACTAGAGGCCCGATGCCCGAAATTTGTGCAAGAGTAGGCCTTCCTCCCCCCAGCTGTCAGCGCTGGCTTCCCTCGCAGCCCCAGCTTCGTCTGGGAGGATGTCTGGTCTAATTAGCATATTACGCTTGTATGATGATAGATATTCTTGGGTTAGGTGTATAGTTAGCACTCGTGTGCCTTTACTTCCCGTAAGGCAGTGTCTTTTATGTTCTACGTTTCAGATGTCGCTGGAGGACCCTGTTACCACATGCCTTTCTGCCCCGGTGTACCATCTGATCTGTGAACTCGGGCTTGAAGTCCGAGAACATCCTGCTATCAGTAGCATTGTGGCTGGGAACGGGGACGTGTGCTGGAAGACGATCACCGACTGTGTGGTTGGTGCCGAGTCAGGTCTGCACTTTCTCTGCACCCCAAACATCCCTGGATACTTTGCATTTTAAAGGTCTCGACCTCCAATATTCCCCTTGCCTACCATTGCTTGCAGTGGTTCTCAACCTTCCTAATGCCGCGACCCTTTAATACAGTTCCTCATGTTGTGGTGACCCCCAACCATAAAATTATTTTCATTGCTACTTTATAACTGTAATTTTGCTACTGTTATGAATCATAATGTAAATATCTGATATGCAGGATGTATTTTCAGGGGTCACAACCCACAGGTTGAGAACCACTGGAGAGGGTGTTATCATAAAGGCCTCACTCAAAAGATAAAAAGAATTGCTGTGAAAAGAGGGAATGAGGCCAAAGAAGCATAGAAGAGTTCAGGGGAAGCTGGGCCGAGAAACCTGTGTGTGAGAAGGGAGGTTGGGAGGCAGTGAGGGTGATGGTCTCAGCTCCAGGCCAGCAGTCCAGATGGAAGAGGGTAGAAAATACAAGTCATGAATTAGGTATGAAATGACCAGTAACATGTTAGATAATTATTTTAGATGCCTTCCACCTGTTTTTGCACATTTTTTTGGAGCAGGGAGTTGGCCTGGAAATTTAACAATAGTTATAAAAATGACAAATAAATGTGCTCTGGCCCAGCAGTTCCATTCCAGGAATTTATAGGACTGGCACACTTACAGACAGCAAAGTGTGTGTCAGCAAGGGTTCTCCTGCAGTGTCGTTTGTAATAGCCAAGAAGAAAAAAGCACTGGAAACAGCCAGATGTCAGGCAGTAGGGATCGCTTCAGAAAATCATGAACAAGTCACAGTGGAACACTGCAGTGGGAAAAAGAATGAGGAGGCCTCTGTTGATGTTGTTTTTGTTGTTTTTTTGGTCTTTTTTTTGTATTATAAAAAATAATCTATTTCTATGAGAAAAGAGGCGTCTGTATATTTGGGAATCTTTTTCCATTTCAAGCATTAAGAACACTTTTAATAAACTTTTTTTTTTTTTTTAGAATGGTTAAAAAAAAAAAAGAATGAGGAGGCCTGGCTTTCTGACCACCGGAATCTCTGAGCTGTGTTGCTAAGTGAAAAAATGAGGATCATATATTTGCATTTGCTTTTATATGTGTAAATATTTCTAAATATACACAAGGAATTAATAACAACAGTTGCTCTAGGAAGACTTACCCTCTTATAGAGGAAGACTTACCCTCTTATATATTTTTTTTTTATCATGAACCATGGGAATGTTCAAACTTCTAAAATATTTCATATTATAAATATCACACAGTCTAATGTTAAGTAAAAAGGAATCAGGTTAAAGTATTATATATGCTGTATGAACCTGATTTTCTATAAACTTATATACAGTAAAGAAATTGAAGAAAATATTTTTCTCCTGTTTGAAACTTTCTGTATTTTCCAAGTTCTCTACCAATAGCATATTTTTATGTTATAATCAGATGAGCACCATATAACTTATTTCGAGGTAGGTGTATCTTTTTTGTAAGTTCAATTATAAACTGGATGTGGACTTTGTGGGAATTTTATAATTAGAGCACTTTTTCTCTGATGACTCAGATATTTTTCTCCCCATGATATAGGAGCGGAGGTGCTAACTTGTTTCTCATCCTTGAAGCCCAGGGTCTGGATTACCAGGGAAGCGTGAGGCTGCTGGGCCCTGTGTGTGAGGCTGTCCACATGCATTTCTCATCTCTGAACAAGGGGCAGTTTGAAGTTCAGTATGCACCGTGGTTCCAGTGGACAAGTTCTCCAGAGGTTCGGCCTTTGCAAATTCCACTTCGAAACCCTGTTACTTGCTCATTTGAAAGGGGTCTCTCTGGAGGGCCCGGAGGGGAACTTGGGACTGTTATGCAGAGTCTCTGGGTCTGAGCTGAGAAGCACACCCTTTGACCAAGGGGAGTATGGAGGTGCAGCATCAGGATGGGGGTGGAGGGAGCTTGGTCTGTGGGTGCTGGTCCTGGACAGAGGCAAAGTGGGCCTCTGCAGAAGAGACAGCCCTGCTGGCGGAGCGAGGTCATCTTGAGACAGTGGCCCCGGCCTGCAGGGGCGCTGGCCTCGGTCCTGCTGAATCGGAGGGAGAGGGTCCTTCGAGGCCCAAACCTGGTTTCAGCTGCTTTGTTGGTTGGTGAAAACCCACGGTGTCACGTGGCACAGTAAATGACCACAGCAGAGCAGTACCTCTAGCAAGTCTACCTCTGAAACCCTGGAGTTTCCTCATTCAGCGTGAAAGGGTCATTCCTTTGTTTATCTTAAGAACTAATCCAAATTGGAAATAAGATTTAGGTAGAAATATTTGACTTCTCGATGTACAGTCACACCTCTCGATGTACAGTCACACCACACTTCCTGTTTTCAATAAATATTAAACAAAGAAAGAACATTCAAAGAACTCCTTAGATATTATTTTTTTTACTATTTAGAAGTTATATTTGTAGGAAATGTTTACCTATACCCCAAAAAATCATTAAAATATGATCATCAAAATCTTTAGAGGTCTGACTCTTGTGAAAAGTATTGTTACTTGGAGAAATATTTCTTATTGAGCATAAATTCTAAAGCGTGTCTTATTCGAAACAGTTGTTTCCAGAAATATTTGATGCCTTGGAGAGTCGTGAGTCCCCTGCGATTGCTCTCAGCCTCATGAAGCTGACGGCCTGTCTGGAACGGGCCCTGGGTGATGTAAGTGTGAGAACGCTCATCATCGGGCCGTTAAAGTACCTGAGTGAATGTTAAACTACCCTGTAGTTGCCCTCAGGTTCCTTGATTTTAATTATCGTTCTCCTCTAAAGTGCAATTATTTGGTACAGAGTTTTAGTATGTTTTGGATGATTATGACATTAAAACATGGGTGTCTTCAGTAATTGTCTCCCACCATTTGTCCAAGCAGTTGCCTTATGGGTGATTTTTCCCTGAATATCATTTGGCTCATTGGAATGCAGTTGCTACATGAATTTTGTTTGAATTTTAGGTGTTTTTACTGGTTGGGAAAGAATGCCCGTTTCTTTTAAGAGATCTGCTTGCCTCTGCGGAGCTTGCTCAAGTCTTCGGGCGGTCTGTGGTAAGCTGGCCCCCACAGCCACAGAGGAAGCGCCACGCACGGCAGTGAGCGTCCGCTGCACTTGTGCTGGTGGGAGTGTCGTCACCTCACAGGTGGAGGGGCCTCAGAGCTCCCACAGCCCGTTCCCCTCAGCTGCCCGTCCTGTTTACACACAGGCCCCCGGTACACGGTGGCGCTTCTGTGCCAAGTCGCTTCCTGTGTGAGTTTATCTGGATGTCAGGCTGTTTGACGCCCAGCACCGCCTGGGACAGGTCCCACCCTCGCCCTGCCCGGGGTCCCCTCTGCACGCTCCTCTCACCTGCACAGTGGGCCTCACAGCAGTGCCTTCGTCGTGGGCGGGTCTGAGGATGGGCGAGGCAGGTGCACGCAGTAACTGCTCAGTAACTGTTGGCTGTGTTATTACCGCTACGCCGACGACTGTGTGCTAACCAGGGGAACTGCTGTGGGAAGGAAGGAAACGTGACTTGTTGCATCAGTGATTTATTAATGACCGCTCTGCCCACCCCCTGCTGTCCTTCCCTGCCCAGATGGACATCCTGACGGTCTTCGTGGGCTCTCCGCGCGGACTCAACCTGCGCAATGTCCTGTGGCACGGGTTCGCGTCCCCGCAGGAAATTCCTCCAAAGTAGGTGCCGCAGAAGGGCCTCCCCTGTGGAGGGCACTGGGGGTTCACCCCTCTGTCGGGACAGGGAGGCCGGTCTCCGCAGGACTTGGAGGGGAAGCTGGGTGTTTGAGCGGAGCCCCTGCAGGGGTCCTCACGGTTTCAGCTCCTGCGTGTCTGAGGTTCTCTTGTTGCTCCCAGCCCATGTGGCACCGCTTCACTTTGCTTTCTTAATTTTGAACTTTTTCTCCTGAAAGGAAAGCCTTTTATATGTACAGCTGAGGTCTCCGGCATCTCCCGCAGGTACTGTTCGATGCTGGTGCTGCTGACCGCAGGGCTGGGCCAGCTGCTGGAGGCTCACCTGCAGCAGACAGAGCGCACGGTGGCCCATCGGCCGCTCCTCACGCTCGCGGACTCAGAGGACTGGACCGTCTTTCCCGGCAAGTCCCGCGTCTCCCCTGAGTAGCATTAGGGAGGCTGTCATCGGAGCATCAGGCGTGAGCTCCAGGTGGGGCGTTCTCCAGGCCACGTGGCCGAGACAGTGCCACGAAGTCGTATGTGAAGCGTCGCCACCTGGACCCGACCCTTCCCGCCGCGCCCGGGCTGCTGCGGGGAGTCCGTGGGTCCGTGTTGGTGACGGTTCAGTCTGTCCTCCAGAGGGACTGGCGTGCACATGGTGTCGGGCCATTTATAAGGCGCTTCTGCTGCCCACGCTCGGCTGTGCCTCTGGGCTCCACACGCTGAGCCCAGAGCCCTCGCGGTGGAACGGTCTTCACGTCGTTTATCCTCCCTGTGACCCAGCCATTTACCAAATCATGGGGAGGGGGCCCGGGACCTCGAAAGAGCTTTCCACCTGTGCTTCTCCAAGCCCACTGCCCCTCACCGGCCGTCGCGGTACAAGGTCTGTGTCTGCCAGTGAGAATGTCACTCACATGGCCCCACCTCTGAGCCTTTTGTGCACGGACCCTTGCGCTGGTCCGGTGACTGCCAATAATACGGCACATACAAACGGCAAGACACTGTTTAGAGCGGTTTTAAGCTTATAAGAGCACAGAGGGAGGTCCAGAGATTCCCCTCCGCCCCGCCGCCCGCCCACAGCCTCCCCCACATCAACACCCCCCAGACCGGACATGTGTCACCAAGGACGAACCTCCTCTACGCGTCATAAGCACCGAAGTTTGTCGCTTACCCAGCACTCACTCGAGGTTCCTGTATCTTGTGGAAGTTTATTTTCCTGGTCAGGTGGTCAGCTGGTCCACCTTGAACTCTACAGAAGGTCACAGCCTGCACCACTAACGAGACGCAGCGTCCGTGCCTGCTTCCGCCAAAGCCCCCGGGCCTCCTGCCCCGCGCAGGGCAGGGTGGTCTTCCTTACCGGGACCCCGCGCTACCCCGGCCGGGCTGCGGCTCACCCGCGTGAGGAGACGAGCCGCCTCGCCCCCGAGGGCGTTCACAGCTTTTCAGTGACCGTGGTTGTGCTGAAACCTCTTGCTGTCTTGCAGCTGCTACTGACGAGGTACTTTGGGCATTGGAGGAAGCGATGAAGAAATCCTCTTTCGTCCTGAGGATCATGTTGCCATATTGGGAAGTCGCGTTGACCAAGTTCAAGACACACAGGTGATGGGAAGGTGGCACAAGGGTGGTTCTTGAGTCCGGGGGCCAGTCCTTCCTCAGCCCCTGCCTCCAGGCCCTGCTGTGGGGCTCCAGCCACGGGCGGGCGGCTGTCTGGAGAGGGGGCTCGCGGGAAACACCTTCCCAACCAGGAGAACGGCCTCCTCGTCGCGTGTCAAGGATCACGGGACGGCGGGTGAAGATTATTGTTTTTTAGAATCAACTTGAAAAGTCATTGAGTTTTTACTGTGAGTGAAGCCCTGTGTCCAGGGTTGGCGAACCAGGGAACAGGAAATCGGTGTCTCGGGCGCCGAGGAGGGAGCTGCTGCTCATACCTCAGGGGTCGCCGGTCTTCACTCCTCCCGCGTTTCCCGGGACGGCCACTGGGAGACCGTGAGAGCCACTGATGTCCTGGGTCTGAGTACTTTCTAGAAAGGAAACGCGGCGGCTTTGGATGACACCTTCCACTGAGGCACTAAAAGTGGCCCATCAGGCGGTAAAGCCCCGAAGCAGTTGTGAAGGCCCAAGTCTAAGGAGACGGCTTCGGTCTCCCTTTGGACACAGCGTCCAGTCTGGACACTGCACCCTGGCTGGGGGGCCGGCCGTGCCCACCTCACAGCGGGCTGTGCTTTTCCTCCGTTTCGCAGGTTCGCCGACTGCGCCATGCTGCTGTTGACGCAGCTGGAGACGGGGCTGCGGGGCCTGTTCGCCAAGGTTAACGGGTGTCCCAGGAGGCTCCTGATGGCCGAGGTACGCGTGCAAGTGGCAGGCTTCTGCCGTGATCTTAACGCCTCATTCTGTTTGCAGTTCATGACCTTGTTAGCCAAGAGCTTTCCTCAGAAGACTCAGTGTCCTTTTCTGTGGCTTTCCATTATAATGTTTTATAGGATTTATGTTTATGGTTGATTGTGGTAGTTCCATCGTATTTTAAAAGTAGTCTTTTAAATTCAGTGATGTCATAAAACTAGTTAGCACTCATTTCTCTCTGTAGCCGTAGTTACTGACATATCACTGTGGCCCACAAGGAGGTCCGTGGTCTGCAGCACGTGCTCTCTGTAAGGACCCTACTCCTCTTGGCCAGAACTCATCCCACCCCGCTGTGGGAGGCTCGGGTGGCAATGTGCCCAGTTAACTATTGAAAGATCCATGGATAAGGAAAGGGGGGCCCTGAGTTATAGGGTGAGCAGCAGCGTCTGCCATGTCTTCTTTTCCACTTTCTTTCACTAGTTCATCTTCCTCTTTTTGCCCCTTTATGTCAACATTCATCAGAATTCTCTTCTCAACCTTGTCCTCTCCTTATATTTGCTCTTTGGGAGGTCTCACACAACCCCATGCCTAAAGCTGTCACCTCTGCAGGGACAACAACTAGAAAACACTTGGAACCTCATGAAAACGGAAGCCCAACATATCACAGGCTGTCGATGCAGCCAAAGCAGCTACGAGGGCAATTCATAGCGTTAAGTTCCAGGGTCTCCAGGCATTGACTCTAAGTCAGTTCTTTCATCTCCTGAGTTAGGTTGACACCAGTTTGCAGAATATCTTCATATGGGTTTTCCCCAGCATCTCAAACTTACTTTATTTTTAAAAAGCATGTTTTTTCTCCTACAAATTCCTTATTCTTATCCTCTCAGTGGCTCTGGCCCCAAACCTTAGCACTGCCCTGTGCTTTGCCTGCACTTCATTCTCCACGGCCACTCGGTCCAGCACTGCCCATCGGTTCTTCTCGTGATGGATTTTGTGCCCCTCCTTTCTGCGCTGAGGCCTCCCTGGTTCCTTGTCCCGCCCCCTGAGCTCCTCCCCCGTCCCGTCTTCCTGCTGCTCTTCCTTCTCTGACCCATGCTCACGCTGCCACCCATTGTCTTCTAAACCAGTACGTATCCCTGTGTCTTCTGTGGCCTCAAGTGCTCAACAGCCAGTGGCGTCCCCGTGCCGCGCACACAGGTCCCAGGCCTCTCAGCGGGCTCCTCCCAGCTGTTGTGCAGAGGAGCTGCGTGCCGCAGTGGAAGGCGGGATCAGAGCTGAGGTTCCTGCCCGGAGCCCATGTCTGTAGACGGTGCTGGTCACACCAAGGAGTGTGGGAACCGGGCCGTTTGTGGGGAAATGTCCCGTTGCTCTTGCCTCATGCCGTCAGCAGACGCACCCGTGTGGGCAGTGGGTTGTGACGCTGCGGGCCTGGAGGTGTTAGGAGGTCGAGCTGAACACCAGCACGGGCAGAGTTCCAGCGGCCGGCGCCCTGGGTCCCACGTGGCCGTCACGTGTGTGTCTTGTCCACGTTCTTCCCAAAGTGCTGCTGGGTGGAGGCAGATTTCAGACGAGGTTTTCGTGTTTGTTGGCATGTGAGACTCCTGCTTTGAACAGTTCACCTGCTCGTATTTTGCTTTAATTGTTTCCTTTTTTCCCTTTTCTGAAGGCGGCAGCTCTGTACACCACCTTTGATGAAGTAAGTGAACTTGAACTTACAAGGTATCTTGAAACAAAACAATATGTTCTTTTAAAATCCAAAGTGAAAGATTAGCCATCATTCACAAGCTTACAGGAAAGCGTTGGTTGTCGTATAAGCTAGAAACAGCCTTAGAGCTGAATATCGTTTCAGGATGAGTTGGGGCCCAGCATTATTCACCAAGTCTCTAAAGTCACAGAGACAAGGCCGGGAAACGCCGGGGACCAGCATCAAGCGCTGCAGCTATTAGAGGCTCACACGTCAGTCACGGCTAGCGCTTGCTTGTTTTGCACGTGAAACGCATCAGCTACTGCCACGAGCATGTAGTAGTCACTGAGGCGTGTCATCTGCAGAGTTGGGGGCGGGATTCTGAAGGAGGAAGTCTGGAATAGTGAAAGTCACAGTGAAATGTTTTTATCACTGGTGGAGTGTAGAGGCCTCTGTGTGCTTCCTGGGTGGACTCCGTACAGACCCCGAAGCATGTGACACCACAGAGCAGCTCCGAGAGGGGACGGGAGTCACTCTGCCTTTGGATGACTTGGCTCCGGGAACTGGGGGAGGGGGTAAGAAGGAGTCTGCTCAGTGTGGAGTTTATCCCGTTAATAACTGATTTGCTGTTGCTGGGTGTGTATTTGGGGCCGTTAGTAACCGATTCGCTGTTACTGGGTGTGTATTTGGGGCTGTGGGGACTGAATGAGACAGTGAAGTCTGGTCCGTCCGTACAGGATTCGGGCCTCAGGATTGGCTCCTGCTTGGGCCCCATCATCTTCGTGAGCCAAGTGACTTGTGAAGTAACTGGTGGACGCGGAGCACACAAGCACACGTGTGCACATGAAGAGACAGAGACAAACAGACACACACATATATAAGTAGACATAAACACACATGGGTACACACATAAAACACAGATACCCACATATATACAAATACGCAAACACACATGCACACAGATACACACACATACAAGTACGCAAACACACATGCACACAGATACACACATATACAAGTACACACAAACACATGCGCACATAAGTACATGTGAACACATATGTGTAGCCACACATAAACACAACACACATACATGCACACAGAGACACGCCCTCACAGTTAGAAAGCTGCGTGTACTGAGGTCATTAAACGGGTTAAGAGAGGTTTTCCTGGCCCGGGGGCGGTTTCCTTGGGGACGCCCTCACTTCATCTGATTGGCTTGGGGCTTATTTAACGATTCGCAGCAAAGGCACAGGCAGGGTGCTTCGGCTCTGAAAGGCCCGCGCGTGCCCGTGTACCAGCTGATTTGCTTGTTTTGGGCGTTTTAGATGTTGGCACAGCACCTGAGTGATGGCGAGATCAACCGGCTTCCTCTCGTCCTCGGGGAGCCTGCGATGGTGAGGCCTTTCTAGTCTGGCGCTCTTTGTTCACGCGTGACCCCCACTTCTCTGACGTGGCACTGACCTTGGCCGTGACGTGCGCAGAGAGAGCGCTGAGCCCTCCGCACGCTCCCTCCTGCGGCTGCTGGTGGTTCAGGTTCTGTCTGGGGCCTGGGGTCAGCGGTTCCCGGCAGTGCGCTCCTCCAGCGTGTCGGCCGGGCCCCTGCTGAGGATGCTGACCAGCCTGTTGTCCGTCTCTTCCACAAGGAATTCCTCTGGGACCTCCTGAACCACCAGGAGGGGCCTCGCGTCAGAGATCACCTGAGCCACGGGGAGGTCAGCCTCCCTGCATTTCCCAAAGGACTGGCCGACCAGCTGCTCGCCTTCTCCCTGGTGCTGTTGCTGAGATTCGCTGATGAAGACCTCGCGTCAGAGTTTAAGGTAGCGGAGAGGGAAGGAGGCAGTCCGGTCACTGCCCTGCGGCTCGGAAAGGGTAGCGTTCATTTTTTTTTTTTTTTTTTTTGAGGCAGCTCTGCCACTGTATTTATTATTGTTCGAAAGTTTGTAATGGTCTTAATTATCCACGAAAGAGTGAGATCATGTGGTATTTTTCCTTCATTGACTGGCTTGTTTCACTTAGCATAATGCTCTCCAGTTCCATCCATGCCGTTGCAAATGGTAAGAGTTCCTTCTTTTTAACAGCAGCATAGTATTCCATCGTGTAGATGTACCACAGTTTTCTAATCCATTCATCTACTGATGGGCACTTAGGCTGTTTCCAGATCTTAGCTATGGTGAATTGTGCTGCTATGAACATCTGGGTGCATATATCCTTTCTGATTGGTGTTTCTGGTTTCTTGGGATATATTCCTAGAAGTGGGATCACAGGGTCAAATGGGAGTTCCATTTCCAATTTTTTGAGGAACCTCCATACTGCCTTCCATAGTGGCTGCACCAGTCTGCATTCCCACCAGCAGTGCACAAGTGTTCCTTTTTCTCCACATCCTCTCCAGCACTTGTCGTTTGTTGATTTGTTGATGATGGCCATTCTGACAGGTGTGAGATGGTACCTCATTGTTGTTTTGATTTGCATCTCTCGGATGATTAGTGACTTTGAGCATGTTTTCATATGTCTCTTGGCTTTCTGAATGTCCTCTTTTGAAAGGTGTCTATTTAGATCCTTTGCCCATTTTTTGATTGGATTGTTTATCTTCTTTTTGTTAAGTTGTATGAGTTCCCTATAAATTTTGGAGATTAAGCCCTTATCAGATATGACGTTGGCAAATATGTTTTCCCACAAGGTGGGTTTTCTTGTTGTTTTGTTGATGGTTTCTTTTGCTGTGCAGAAGCTTTTTATTTTGATGTAGTCCCATTTGTTTATTTTCTCTTTAGTTTCCATTGCCCTCTGAGAAATTTCAGTGAAGAAATTCCTTTAGCATATGTCTGAGATTTTGTTGCCTTTGTATTCTTCTAGAATTTTTATGGTTTCCTGTCGTACATTTAAGTCCTTTATCCATTTTGAGTTTATTCTTGTGTATGGTGTAAGTTGGTGGTCTAGTTTCATTTTCTTGCATATATCTGTCCAATTTTCCCAACACCATTTATTGAAGAGACTATCTTGGCTTCATTGTATGTTCATGCCTCCTTTGTCAAAAATTAATTGAGCATATTGGTTCGGGCTAATTTCTGGACTCTCTATTCTATTCCACTGATCTATATGTCTGTTCTTGTGCCAGTACCAGGCAGTTTTGAGAACAGTAGCTTTGTAATACAGCTTGATATCTGGCATTGAGATCCCGCCTACTTTGTTCTTCTTTCTCAGGATCGTTGCAGCTATTCGGGGTCTTTTTTTATTCCAGATGAATTTTTGGAGAGTTCGTTCTAGATCTTTGAAGAAGGCCATTGGTATTTTAATGGGGAGTGCGTTGAATGTATAGATTGCTTTGGGTAGTATAGACATTTTAATGATGTTGATTCTACCAATCCAAGAACATGGTATGTTCTTCCATCTGTTTATGTCTTCCTCTATCTCTTTTTTCAACGTCCTGTAGTTTTCTGAGTAGAGGTCTTTAACCTCTTTAGTTAAGTTTATTCCTAGGTATCTTAATTTTTTTGGTGCGATGGTAAATGGGGGTAGCGTTCATTTTTAAACGCCGTTCACTTCATCGTCTCTTGCTTCCCTTACCTGGTTTACTGTGCGCCGCCATCAGAACAATAATTGTGCATTGATTACATGTATTGATGCTAATGTTTACATTTCTACTATATTCTATTTTTTAGGAGAATCTCTCAAATTTTCCAAATGTTTGGAATCTTTTCTTTCTTATTTCTGTCTGTGTTTGTTGCGTTGTGGACAAGCGTGGATGTGGCCTTTTAATCTATCACTGTCTTCACTTCTTCGAACATCACTTTGTTGGCAATGATGTGACTTCATCCCATTCTGTTCTGCAGAGAGCTCAGCTGCTACAGCTGAACGGAATGAGATGGAGGGAAGTCACGAGGAATCGGGACGTATGGGGCTTAACATTCAATAGAACAAAACTGGCAGCCTAACCAAGCGTGTTTCCCACCAGGAAAAAGCAGCAGTGAAGGCGCTGGTCAGGCTGGCGGAAGGCTACAGCGCTCGCTTCCACCCGGTCGCGCTGATTAAAAAGCAGGTGAGCTGCGTGGCGGCTGTTTCGGGGCCGGGGTGTGCGTGGCTGCTGCAGCGACCGGAAGCCTCAGGCTTGGGGCTGCCTCGTTGGGGCGGACTCCGGGTGGGCAGACCTGGCGCTCCAACCACAGTGGTCACTCAGATGCGAGGCCTCGCGTGGTGGCTCAGGTGTGTGGCCTCTTTGTAAAATGTGCTGCATAACAAGGCACCACGTACAGTGGCGTCCACAGTAGCCACTTCATTTCCTTACACTTTTCTTTTATCCTCCCCAACGGGGATCAAACCCACAGCCGAGGTAAGTGCCCTGCCAGGAGTCAAACCCGTAACCTGTTGGTGTGTGAGACTCTCCAACCAGCCGAGCAGCCCAGCCAGGGCCTCCTACACATTTGTGGGTCAGGTGTTTTGGACGGGCTGAGGGCTGGGTCCCGTCTGATATTGGACCGGGCGCTGGCACTTGGCCACGGCCACTGGCTGAGGCCTTGTCTTCACCCAGAGCGCGTGGCCCACAGCACCAGGGCGAAGCACGCCGTCCACCCTGCCCCCGCCCCAGCCGGGGAAGTCACCCCTCCCCCGGCCGCCCCGCAGGCTCCTGGGGACTGTGCCCATTAAGCGAGTCTGACTGGGAGGGGACTGGCCCGTCCTGACCACAGTGCGTCGGAATTTCCGACAGCTCCACAGCCGCTCGGACATTGCTCCCACGGACCTGTCGTGTCTCCGGCCTTTCTGTATCATAATGAACAACCGACACCCACCACCTGGTTTTCAAACGTAATATCCGTAGCAGTTTTACACACAGGCTTCTAGAAGGTGACGGGCACACCTGCAGCAATTTCAAAACAAGGTTTTAAAATAGGTTTCTTCTATAGCAGTGGTTCTCAACCTCGGCTGCACATTAGAATCACCTGGGAATCTTTAAAATCCTGATTTCTGGGCCTCATCCTCCGGAAATTCTGTTTCTTTGTTATGGGGTGGGGCCACAACATTAGTAACAAAGAAACAATTTCCAGAGGATGAGGCCCAGAAAGCAGGATTTTAAAAAGATTCCCAGGTGATTCTAATGTGCAGCCAAGGTTGAGAACCACTGCTCTAGACTAGAGCCTTATTGCAGAACCTTCAGAAGCCGGGGCCTTTTCCTCCCAGGTGCTGAGCTGTGAGGAGAGTGTCCGGTCGTGGCCTCTGCTGCCTTTGCCGGAGGACGCTGCGAGGGAAGCGGCCAGGTGAGCTCCATCCGGGAGTGTGCAGGCCTCACAGCAGTCGGGGAGCAGCTGGGCCGTGGGGCAGGAAATGCCCGGGAGGGACTGTGGGGCCTGGTGACGGGTGGAGTGGGGGGTGGAGAGGACGAAGGGTGATCGCCCAGCTAAGCTCAACTGCGGGTGGGTATGTGCGGAGACTGAGAACGTGGACAATCAGGAAGGGGGTCTCACTCTCAGGAGAGAAGTGGGGACACGGATTTTGGATTGTAGAGTCAGAGACAGATTCACATGAGTCAGCAAAGCATATTGCTTTTAGCATATTGTACCATTGACTTTTTTTTATCTTCTTCCAAGGATGGAAAAATATATAATTTATTTTAAAGAGAGACATAGGGAGAAAGAGAGAAACATTGATGTGAGAGAGAAATATCAATTGGTTGTTTCCCATACACACTCCGACCGGGAATCGAACCCACAATCCTACAGTGCACAGGACAGTGCTCCAGCTGTTACTGGGAAACCCTGGTTGGGCTCCAGCTGCCTGTTGCTGTGCCCAATACCAAAGGCAGGGTGAATAATTTAAGGCATTTATTGAGAAGGCCTGCCAACCAAGAAGACAGGACACTTACAGGCATTCAAATCCTGTCTTCCAGCAGGTGCAGGGGACAGGACTACAAAGGGGAAGGGGCTGGGGGACGAACATCAGCTACTGTCACCAGGAGATGAGATGATGTGGATGAGATGATGTGGATGAGGTGGTGTGGACGAGGTGGTGTGATGAGATGGTGTGGGTCAGATGGTGTGGGTCAGATGGTGTGGGTCAGATGGTGTGGGTCAGATGATGTGGACGAGGTGGTGTGGTGAGATGATGTGGATGAGATGATGTTTTGACTCCTGATGGGTTGGCCGACCATGCTTATCGGTTCTGCTTACTGGATTCACAGCCCCTCAATCATATATGAGAAACTTAGCCCCCTATTCACGTAAGTATATTTGTTCTAAGATTTAAAATATTATGATTATTTTTTAGATTAATTCAGGTGCTCTACCTATCTATGTATATAAAAGCTAATATGCAAACTGTCCCCTTGGGAATTTGACTGGGAGTCCTGGAGTTTGATCACTCGCTATGACGTGTGTGATCACCAGGGGGCGACGCGGAATGAAGGAAGGCTCCAGCCGGAAGGACCCAATGGGCCCTGATCATCGGGCAGGCCTGGGGAACCTATCTGTGCTCGAATTTCATGCACCAAGTCTCTAGTCAGATTATAAGCCCCCTTATCACAGCCAGCCGAGCCCCGCCCCGGCCAGGGCACTGTGGACTTTTACCACAGCCTCCGATGGCGGCCTTTTCATTTATAGCTGAGGAAGCATTTTCAGATTAAGCACTTTTCTCAGTGAACCAGGTACATAAATGTTATTTTGCACAGGAGCTAGCCGGGCACCTGAATTACGTCAGGTACGATTAAATGCCTTCTTTTTCCAGATTAGGTGGCAGTTCTGAAGCCAGTGCCTGCGAGCCTTTGATTATAAAGATCATGTCTGAGCTGTGCCGCCACGTGCCTGGGCACCACTGTGCTTTCGGGGGCTTAGATAGCCTCCCTGTTGAGAGGTAAGTTTCCTCCCACACTCGTCAGACGTTGACATGCAAGCCGGAGTCGGTAGCTGGGCCTCGGTGCTCTCGGCCTGGCTGGTCTGTGATGACAGCCCCAGGTGAGCCTGCGTGGTGGGAACCTGTGTGTGTAAGAGCAGACGCGAGCTGGCTGCCGCGGGACTCAGTGCAGCAGGCGGCATGGTGGCCCGGGAGGTCAGCGATGGCCATGCCCACAGGGCCCAGCCCTGGGGCTGTGCCCACAGAGCCGTGCTCTGACCGCAGGTGGCCCTGGCCGCTCCCGTACATCTGCAGCCTCCGAGTGCCGACCCTGTTCTGCCCCAGAGCCGTCCTGGAGGTGCTGACTGTGCTCCGCAGCATCAGCTCACGCTGCGCCCAGGTGTCCCAGCAGGTGGCGGCCTCCCTGGAGCGCAGGGGCCGGCAGTGGGCGGAGAAGACACTGCGCTCCCGGCAAAGGCAGAATTTCCTGCGCATGGTGAGCAGGTGAGTGGCTGTGCCGTGTGCATGGTGAGCAGGTGAGTGGCTGTGCCCTGTACGTGGCGAGCAGGTGCGTGGCTGTGCCGTGTGCGTGGCGAGCAGGTGAGTGGCTGTGCCGTGTGCATGGTGAGCAGGTGAGTGGCTGTGCCCTGTACGTGGCGAGCAGGTGCGTGGCTGTGCCGTGTGCGTGGTGAGCAGGTGCGTGGCTGTGCCGTGTACGTGGTGAGCAGGTGCGTGGCTGTGCCGTGTGCATGGTGAGCAGGTGAATGGCTGTGCCGTGTGCGTGGCGAGCAGGTGCGTGGCTGTGCCGTGTACGTGGTGAGCAGGTGCGTGGCTGTGCCGTGTGCGTGGTGAGCAGGTGCGTGGCTGTGCCGTGTGCATGGTGAGCAGGTGCGTGGCTGTGCCGTGTGCGTGGTGAGCAGGTGAGTGGCTGTGCCGTGTGCGTGGTGAGCAGGTGAGTGGCTGTGCCGTGTGCGTGGCGAGCAGGTGCGTGGCTGTGCCCTGTACATGGTGAGCAGGTGAGTGGCTGTGCCGTGTGCGTGGCGAGCAGGTGAGTGGCTGTGCCATGTGCGTGGCGAGCAGGTGAGTGGCTGTGCCGTGTACGTGGCGAGCAGGTGCGTGGCTGTACCGTGTACGTGGCGAGCAAGTGAGTGGCTCTGCCCGGTTCGAAGGAGGCTTGGGGCAGGAGTTACCTCTGGAAGCAGTTCTGGTTCTCACTTTGAGAGAAATACTGGTTTTTAGGGAAAGTTATGGAACACACGCTGTGTGTGGTTGCAGCGCGGGGAAGACTGCCCGCCTGGGTGAGTGTGGATCGCAAGCAGCGGTGATGTGGGAGCCGCGTTAGGGCTTCTTCCCGTGCCGCGTGTCCTGGCGTGTGCTGCTCCTCAGGGAGTTACCATTTGGGACAAATGCCGAGCACTGAGTCGAGGGGTGTCTAAAGCTTCCAGTTCCCACTGCTTCCGAAAACTGATGCCTAGTTTACGCTCTGAGCGGCCGCTTACAAGAGGATGCCTGCTCCCTCACATCCTTCCCGAAGCAGAATATCTTTAAATCTCCTACCAGTTTTATGGGAAAGATGAAATCTCACTGTAGTTGGGATTTCTTTGAGTCCCAGAGACACAGACACCTTTTCATGCTTAAGCCTTTCCGTTGCTCTTCGTACGAGCACTGGCTGTCGGGCTGTAAGGAAGACGCTGATGGGTGCAGGGGAGGGCGCCCAGGAGGGTCCAGGGCAGGGCCAGGTCCTCCCTGTCCTCCCTGTCCAGAGAGCAGGCCCTGCTGGCTCAGAACTAGACAAGAGGGCATGAGGAAGGGGGGCCTGGCGGCACGTGGCCAAGCTCCTCTTGAAGACTTCCGTGGCCCGGCCGTGACCCAGGGCCCTGTGGTTGGAGCAGCGTGGCTCAGGCCCTGTGGTGGGAGCAGCGTGGCTCAGGCCCTGTGGTGGGAGCAGCGTGGCTCAGGCCCTGTGGTGGGGGCAGCGTGGCTCAGGGCTTTGTGGTGGGAACAGTGTGGCCCAGGGCCCTGTGGTGGGAGCAGCGTGGCCCAGGCCCTGTGGTGGGAACAGTGTGGCCCAGGGCCCTGTGGTGGGAGCAGCGTGGCTCAGGCCCTGTGGTGGGGGCAGCGTGGCTCAGGCCCTGTGGTGGGAGCAGCGTGGCTCAGGCCTTGTGGTGGGGGCAGCGTGGCTCAGGGCTTTGTGGTGCGAGCAGCGTGGCCCAGGCCCTGCGGTGGGGGCAGCGTGGCCCAGGGCTGGTCAGGTGAAACCTCATTTTCTCTATGAAGTTGAACACATTGTATTTAAGACTTTAATCTGCTTTGCTGTCCTCAGTGTGAAGCTGCTGGCCCAGGTGCTGTCCCTGGTTGTGCTGCTGGTGGCGCTGGAACTGGTCAGCGTTCACGGGGTCCACGGAGAAGAGCCCTGTGGCCGCCAGCGGTACCTCAGGTGGGTGTCCTACCCAGGGGAGCCGCGTCAACAGCTGTGGCGTCTCCACGCCTGCGGTGGTTCCTGGGGGTTTGACACCCGCCCTCTCCTGGCCTCACTGTTCACGGGCTTAGGGGTCTGAGCCTCGCGCTGCCCGCGTGTGGGCCCCTCCAGCCAGTGCGAGCGCCCACGCGCCCCCTGCACTCCCGTCGGGGGCGCCTCCGCGGGCTGGTCTGTGTGGCCCGGGCCTCGGTCACGGCACCAGACGTGATGTTTACAGCGAATGCTCTCAGCTCGGGAAGCCCCTTTAGGAGCCCAGACCCGCTCTGAGAGCAGGATCACACGCATGACCCACCTTACACACGTGTGACCCGCCTTACATGTGTGTGACCCGCCTTACACACGTGCGACCCACCTTACACACGTGTGATCCACCTTACATGTGTGTGACCCGCCTTACACACGTGTGATCCACCTTACATGTGTGACCCGCCTTACACACGTGTGAGCCACCTTACATGTGTGTAACCCGCCTTACACACGTGTGAGCCACCTTACATGTGTGACCCGCCTTCCGCATGTGTGACCCACCTTACACACGTGTGACCCGCCTTACACACGTGTGACCCACCTTACACACGTGTGGCCCGCCTTACATGTGTATGACCCGCCTTACACACAGAGCTTCCAGGAGAGGCGCGGGATCTGTCATGTGTTCACCACGGCTGCTCCCACAAAGTCCCTCGTGTCCCCAGCTTGAGGCTTCGCAGGTCGCAGGCAGCTCAGTGTATGTTTACAGGGCGGTGAGGTCCAGGTGAGGGCGGAGTGAGTGCAGCCGCTGGTCCTTGTTTCCAGTCTAGTCAGGGTCTCAGCCTCCGCACTGACGTCCTGAGCTGGTGGTTCTCCAGTGGGGGCTGGGTTGTCCTGTGCCTGGTGGGGGCTGGGTTGTCCTGTGCCCGGTGGGGGCTGGGGCGTCCTGTGCCCGGTGGGGGCTGGGTTGTCCTGTGCCCGGTGGGCTGGGTTGTCCTGTGCCCGGTGGGCTGGGTTGTCCTGTGCCCGGTGGGGCTGGGGCGTCCTGTGCCCGGTGGGGGCTGGGTTGTCCTGTGCCCGGTGGGGGCTGGGTTGTCCTGTGCCCGGTGGGGGCTGGGTTGTCCTGTGCCCGGTGGGGGCTGGGTTGTCCTGTGCCCGGTGGGGGCTGGGTTGTCCTGTGCCCGGTGGGCTGGGTTGTCCTGTGCCCGGTGGGGGCTGGGTTGTCCTGTGCCCGGTGGGCTGGGTTGTCCTGTGCCCGGTGGGGCTGGGGCATCCTGTGCCCGGTGGGGCTGGGGCGTCCTGTGCCCGGTGGGGGCCCATCCACCTCCCAGTGACAATGTGGCAGCATTTCTCTTTCACGGAACCTGTACTGTGTCCATTGTGTGGGCACCTCTTTTCCTTGAATTCGCAGATAGAAATTAAACTCAGTACTTAGTTGTAATCCCAACAAAGAGAGAAAACATTCGCATCATTGTCACATTCTCAGTGGATGGAATAGATAAAGGAATTAATTCCTACCCAGGTTCTTAAAGTCGGTCCTGCAGTTCACCGAGAACCTGGCGGCCTGCACCAGCCCCGCCAGGAACCAGTGGGGCGAGGCGGCCCGGCTCACGCACACGGCGCTGCTGGGCATCTGGACTTTCAGTGAGAGGAGACAGATGCTCATCCACAGAGCCGGGAGCTCCCCGTGAGGCCGCACACGTCGGCAGCTCAGTCACACCAGGAGCCCCCGGATGGATGTCACAGCCTGCAAACGGTCCAGGGGAGGCGGTTCCAGTGACACGCTCCCCGTGGTGGTGCCGTGTCCTCCTTGGTCAGCTTGCCATGGAGCGTGCGGTCCCGTGGTGGTGCCGTGTCCTCCTCGGTCAGCACGCCATCGAGCATGAGGTCTCCGTGGTGGTGCCGTGTCCTCGGTCAGCTCGCCATGGAGCATACGGTCCCGTGGTGGTGCCGTGTCCTCGGTCAGCTCGCCATGGAGCGTGCGGTCCCCGTGGTGGTGCCGTGTCCTCGGTCAGCTCGCCACGGAGCGTGCGGTCCCCGTGGTGGTGCCGTGTCCTCGGTCAGCTCGCCATGGAGCGTGCGGTCCCTGTGGTGGTGCCGTGTCCTCCTCGGTCAGCACGCCATGGAGCGTGCGGTCCCCGTGGTGGTGCCGTGTCCTCGGTCAGCACGCCATGGAGCGTGCGGTCCCCGTGGTGGTGCCGTGTCCTCGGTCAGCTTGCCATGGAGCGTGCTGTCCCCGTGGTGGTGCCGTGTCCTTGGGCAGCACCACTGAGCACATGTGGGTGAACTGGCTCCCTCGCTGGCGAGTGACGCTCACTTAGTGTTTCTATAAAGTGGCGGCACCCGATCTCTTCACCATGAAGACGTGACTGTGACTGGCAGCTGCTCGGGAAGCTGCGTGAGCCCTTGGCCGTTCTCCCCGAGCCTGTCCTCCACGTGGGCCGGGGTATAAAGTGGTAGCATGTTGGCTCTGTCTCCTGCATTTACTCGTCACTGTCTCTGAGGAAGGAGGCCTCTGGCTGCACTGAGCACCTTAGGGTGTGTTCGCTGCCCAGAGAGCCCCTCCGGGTGTGGCTCAGTCCTGACAGGCCGCAGCCGGCTCCCCGTCCCCGGGATTCTCCAGGGACTGGGGAGTGGGGAGGTCCCACCGGGTCCCCAACCGCTGGACACAGCCCGTTGCCCGCTGGGGAGCCTCCCCTGGGGCTACCAGCCGCCTGCGTCCCTGAAAGGGTGAGAGGTGAGCTGGCCATGGGCCCCGCACCAGCACAGACTCTAACGGGAGGACTGGCCATGGCTGGACGTGAGGAAGGCGGGCCAGGCGGCCTTGCTGGCCGAGGCCTAATACAGACAGAGAGGCGGCGGGTGGGGGGGGGGCAGGCGCGTGTGAGGGAGGGGCACAGGGAAGCGAAGACAGAAACAGCAGTGGGGCCAGGCTGCCTCCGTCTGCCGTCCCGTCCGGGGCTGGTCGGCTTCTGGGGCCTGTTGGGCGAGTTCTTTCCACAATTGGGAGTGACTGGGCCGCTTGCCGCCCGTACGGAAGCCCGCGAGGAGCCTGCCGGGGAGC